ATATTAACCACATTGCAAAAAAAACTATAGTAAAGCCAGGTAGTATGGCATGTGCCTGCAATCTCAGCAACTGGCAAGGTTGAAGGAAGAGGATCAGCCCTTCTATCATACAGGGCGTCAAGTATTCAGAAGGAGAACCAAGTTATATTCTTAAACTAAAAAAAAAAAAAAAAGTTGGCTTGGTGCCTGTAGTTCAGCAGTTAGGGTGCCAGCCACATACATTGAGACTGGCAGGTTCAGACCTAGCCTGGGCCTGTCAAACAACAACAAAAAATAGCTGGGTGTTGCAGGCGCTTGTAGTCCCAGCTACTTGGGAGGCTGAGGCAAGAGAATCACTTAAGTCCAAGAGTTGGAGGTTGCTATGAGCTGTGACACCACAGCACTCTACCAAGGGTGACATAGACTCTGTCTCAAAAAAATAAAAAAAGTTATAGTAAAGGGCAGAAAAAAATAAGCAACTATAATTCTTCCATTCTAACACAACTATGGTAGTCTGTTTCTTTCCAGTCTTTTTTCTGATGTATAAACTTTACATAGTTGTAAGCAGACATTTCAAAACCAATGTTTTTGTCTAAGGAAACAAGTTTGTGTGTATCAAAGGGCTAAGTTAAAAAAATTATACACCAGATCATTAATTCCTGGGATTCTGACTTTTCATGCATTGATTTCAGCAATAGAGAAAGGGACTGCTAAGTGAGTCATCAGGGTTGTCATTTATTTGGAACACAGTATTAAGTTTGCAAAATAGGGCCGGGTGCGGTTGTTCAAACCTGTAATCCCACCACTCTGGGAGGCCTAGGCAGATGAATTGCTTGAGTTCACAGGTTCAAGACCTGAGCTAGAGCAAGACCCTGTCTCTTAAAAAAAATAGCTGAATGTAGTGGCAGGTGCCTGTAGTCTCAGCTACTAGGAAAAAGTTTGTAAAATACCATAGCTCTGAAATAGATCCTTAACGTTGTCTACCCTCTGAGAATGCTAGTGTTGGAAGGCAGGAGTTTCAAAAAATGACTCTTGTCAAAGATCTCGGACAGTTTCTTCAAGAGGACTAATACACCAGGTCATGGTAATTACGTGAAAGAAGAAACGAGGCCCAAGGGCTCAGTGGCATACTTAGGCACGCTGAACTGCAGAAAGGCAGCCTGACTTATGTCACAGTCCTGTCCCGCAGCTATTAGAGTGCCATCTGTTTCCTTGGGGAGAGGATGATCACAAAATTGGCATAGGTTTTATCTTCATGGGTACCTAGAAGCCATCTTATTTGTTATGGGGACACCTTTATTATACTCTGTACTAATGACTGTTACTTTCCCTTGGAGGCCTAAAACTTCCTCCTTTGATTGGAAATAACCGAAGTGAGTTGTAAAAGTAAGTACAGCAGATGTGTGAAGGAAGAGATGTAGCTGAAAGGATTTGGAGTTGGAAGCCCTGTGCTTGACTCTGGGTCTGTTCACCTCTGGCTGTGTCGTGGGGTAGTAAATCCTAGGTACCTGACGATGCCTGTGAGGACAGAACAAAACATCTTAGGTGAATGTGTTTTGTAAAGCCCAGTCAATGTGTTCATCTTCAAGCTGAATTGAAAAAAAAAAACAAGACTGTTGTACATTAAACCACAGTAAAGCTCTTAAAAAACAGCCTGATCATGACCTTGTTTTTGTCTTTTTCAGTCTTCAGGCAGTGACAGTGGTGGCAGCAGCAGTAGCAGCAGCAGCAGCAGCAGCAGCATTAACAGCCCAGACAGGGCCAGTGGGCCAGAAGGCAGCTTAAGCCAGACCGTGGCCGGATCCAGCCCTAACACCCCTCAGCCCGTGCCCGAGCAGTCTGCACTGTGCCAAGGCCCTTATTTCCACATCAACCAGACCCTGAAGGAGGCCCACTTTCACAGCCTACAGCACCGGGGACGGCCTCCGACATGATGTGCTGGCAGTTTCTTGCCTTCTATGAAGGGACAGCGCTGTGCAGATTGGATATTTCAACTTGCGATTTGTTTTAAAAAAAAAAAATTGCACACACACACAAAAATGCCTGTTGGCTTTTCAGTCTATATTTGAAATAACAGGTTAACAGGCAATTGTTTACTTGTGGTTTTGCTGCACTATTGCAATTTCAAAGGGGCTTTGAAGCAATTTTTTATAGGATTCTTTTGAGGGAGGGTGTCAAATCCATGTCATGGTAGTGGTATGAGGAAATCTCATCTGTGTGTTGATCCATAGTATGCCTAATCCAGACTGACTTCCAAATCTGTCAATTAGAAATTCTTCATGTAAAAGGGCATTTTAAAAATGCGGGATCTTCAATTTTTTAAATTCAATAAACTAGTAAAGAGTATCTAGTTTCCATGAAAAAAACAAGCTTTTTTCTTTTCCCCAAATATAGAAATCTTGACTCAGTCTTGCACTGAAATGTACTGCCATACTACCTCTCAGTAAGTAGATGTTCTACTGCAAGGACTCTCCTTTCTAACAGGCTAACAGATCCAATTCAGACTAAGAGAAGCACCCCCCCAACAACGGTCTCCACTCTTTGTTATATATTTGTATTTCCAGGGAGAATGTCTTTGAGACTCTTGTATACTCAGATAACCTGTCTCAATATTCTTCCACAGTCTGCACCTAAGACTATAGTAGAAAACGCTGCACAGTTCTGAAGGTGAAGAAGTATGTAATGACTTTTCGTCTTACTCGGAAACTTAAGTCAGCAGCTTAACCTGATGTCTTTGGCAATTCCACCTGTAGCCTCAATATTCAAGGTGAATGCTGATAAAGTGTAACCTTTCTGATGTCTAAAGCAACAAATATTGTTAAATATTTGTAAAATCCTCAGAGAAGGATTAACTTTATGCTTAAAGTAACCCCTAATATTAACCAGGGGCAACATTCCATCATTGGAACTGGATAGATTGGTGTGGCTTTAAAAGAAATGAGCAGAGGCACCTTTAGAAGAAATAATATAGTATTTATTTAGAGGTGGATGTGTTCCTGTGTTACTTAGTCATACTAGAGAGCCAGCTCAGTTTGAATAGTGAAGATGCAGACGTGTCGTCCTCCTCACTGACAAGCTGTCTGAACAAGGAGCCAGGAAGCATCGGGTCACCTGCTGTGGAGAGTGCCGGGGGGACAGCCTGCCATTGGATGTAGAGGAAAGTGCCTTAGAGTCTACCCGAACCCTCCTGCCTGCTCGCCCACACCATGCCACACCACTCGGAGGCCACACAGCACACACAAGCAGGTCTGAGAAACACGGACAGCCCTAGTCAGATGACTTTGCTGTTTCTCGAGATTGGAAGAGGACACGGGGAACAGTGTAAGATTTGATTATGGGACAGCACTAAAATTTGAAAATGTCCTAGGAAAAGGCAAACATAATGCATATGCACCTCCTTTCCATGTTCTGTTCCTCTGATCGGGACAGAATTGGAAGGCCAGTCGCTGGAAGTAGAAACAGTGTTCTGGGGAAGGCACAGCACAGGTCTGTGCTTAGGGAGTGAGTGGTTTTTGCCAGAGTTTTTTTGGTTTGGTTTGGTTGTATTACGATCTCCCAAATTTTAAAACAAGATGGTGAAGACTGTGGATCTTGACGGGTTTGGTATCAGGGAATATGGAAAGGATACGCCACTCATCTTTTGTCTAACAGTAAACAAACAACTCTGTGTGTAAGAAAACAAACTGTTGCAACTCTCAAACGTGTACACAACACAACTCAGAATACCCAGGAGGACTCCTGCAGGCTTAATGGATGGCATCCTACTGAAACAAAATGTGTATTAACAAGAAAACATAAAACTTGGGGAAGCAAATTTTCTTTCCCACCCCCACCCAACTAAGAGAAAAGGGGAAACCACCAGAACAAAAACAGATTTTTTCCAAATAAGTACAAACAGTGCTAGGTTGGCAGTTAACTCTTCCACTCTACTAAAAAACATGAGAGAATCTCCACTGTGTCCTGTATATTTTCTACAGCCTGGGAAGCCTGAAAAACATTTCTATTACGAAGCTACTCGGTAGTGTCAGTGGGCTACTTCTAAAACTTCAATTAGCTCAAGCGAGTAAAACCTTGTACTTCTCTATTGCGCCGCCATTAAAAGCAGCATTAGTGCATTTTGTCATTCGATTCTTTATCAGTTACTTCAAAGGGAACTGATTGGGTGGCTGAGTGGGACATGGGGACAGGATCAAGAAGGGTGGACCTCTTGCTGTTGGCACTAACCTGGGCTTTTGTTTCAGCACTTCTGCTGGTTGATTTCCCCCTTCGAGTGCTTGTCATGCTCAGTGGGAGAAGTCCAAACCTTAAGACAAGGGGAATGAATTTCAGTACCACAAATAGGCAGCTGCAGGCCCTGTGAAAGCCTAGAGTCATTACCTGATCTGACTTGAGGCCAGTGGCAGTATGTTATGGGGTTCTTGGGAGTTGAATGTACTGCTCCGAGGGCTGAACTGATTCTCTGTACCCGTGACCAATCCAAACAGCACCTCACAGACAGAAACGGCAAAGTCACTTGTCTGTTAGATAATCACTATTTCTAACTATCACTTGGGGGAATGTTCTCTTCAGTGTAGTGATGCTTCAAAATTCCTTCTCAAGGCCCCACAGGCCAGCATCTCAGACATATAGTTCTTTTATTCTTTCTGAAGGATAAAACCTTAATAATCCTTATTGACAACTAATGGGGTCAGATCATGTTTGCCTCAGCATGTGAGACTGCATCTAATCCTCTTTCAGCCCATACAACAACACACAGCTATTTGTGTCTTACCCCTCCCAGTGCTGCATCCTGGAGTGTTAAGTGCTGGAGCAGGCTAATTGTGCAATTTGAGCCTGTGGCACCTGACTCCCGCTGAGCAAGCTTTAGACCTGACTCACAGAAGTTCGCTGCACCAGGCGATTTAGGTTGCTGTTGAGGTGTGGCATGAAAACGTCCAGGTCAAATGGATCAATGAGTGCTTCCAGGTGGTCAGTCACTTTCTCGATTCTGAGAAAAGGATTAGAATCATTATTCTCCATACTTTCTTAGGATCAAAACCAATCTTACAGTATTTTAATGCCACAGAAATCCTGGAATTGGATTTATTCTACTTAGCTGCTGGCTTAGCACATTTGTCACTGATCATCGTGCTTCAGTAATCCTCCAGAGTTGCAACCTGATGTAGTGTCTAAGTGAATGAAGTCTACTCCTTCCTCATGTTCTGTTTTTAGGGAGGGCACTAAGGGCTCAAATGATTCTCAGCGGCTGCTAGGCTGGTTCAGAAGAGAGGAGGAGGGTCTACCTATAGCAGCTGCCCATGGAGTTTAACCAGCAGGTGGCCATTATTTACCTTGCTGGTAATATGAACACTTAACTGTTTAAAACAAACACAGTGAACCTATAATTAAGAGGTTGATGCTTCTCTTTTGTGGCTTCCCAGCAAGGGGCTCTCTGTATGTGGAAGAGCCTGTCTTGTGACAGCTCAGTGGAGAGGATACTACACCTGGAGTCCGGCTTGCTTCGGCTGCTCTTGCCCTCTTCAGCCTTGGTTGTCAGAACAATGTTGAGATAACGCAGATCGTAAAGCAGCTGCAGCGCCCGGTTCTGGGTTACTGGAAACGCACCTTCCTTCTGCAGATGAATTCCCAGTCCCCAGCACGAAGAGATGACTTTTTATACAAGTATATAAACAGCTTAATGTTTAGATTTGAGTTACAGCTTGGTTAAATCTCATAACAACAAACAGGTTATGTTAGACACTTGGTCATATCTTTAGATTGGGTCTTGCTCTATCATGCAGACAGAAGTGCAGTGGTGTGATCATAGCTGACTGCAACTTGAAACTCCTGGGCTCAGCCTCTCCATTAGAGCTGCCCAGCACCACATCCAGCTAATTTTTTTATTTTCTATAGAGACAGGGGCTCACGATGTTGCCCAGGCTCATCTTGAAGTGCTGGCCTCAAGTGATCCTCCTTTCTTGACCTTCCAAGGTGCAGGCATTACTGGCGTGAGCCACTGCAACCAGCCTAACACTTGGTCTTAAAACTAAACCTAATAGCCAGGAAGGGACTCAGCCCTTTAAAAAAGGCCTCAGAAAAAATAAATAAATAGGCTCGGCGCCTGTGGCTCAAGCGGCTAAGGCGCCAGCCACATACACCTAAGGTGGCGGGTTCGAATCCCCAGCCCAGGCCGCCAAACAACAATGATGGCTGCAACCAAAAAAATAGCTGGGCGTTGTGGCGGGTGCCTGTAGTCCCAGCTACTTGGGGCTGAGGCAGGAGACTCGCTTGAGCCTAGGAGTTGGAGGTTGCCATAGCACTCTACCCAGGGGGATAGCTTGAGGCTCTGTCTCAAAAAAAAATAAATAAATAAATAAATAAATAAGACCTCAGGTGCTACAAATTGTCATTTTAAAGGCGAAAAAAGCTACCTGCATGAAGGGAGGAACCTGGAGGATGCTCCAAGAGGACACCTCTTAAGAGTGTTATTAATGAAATGGGAACATACCCCAGGGCACAATGCTTCACAGGAGAGAGGGAGTGGCGGGCTGGGACACAGCGCCACCTACATGGGCGCTCTGCACCACAGGTTGTGCTCTGTGCTCATCTTAACCTCCTCACAATCAGCCCTGAGGTGGGAGACAGGGAGGGGGTTCCACCTTACAGGTGAGGAAACCAGCTGAGCAGCTGATGTGATTGTGTTGGATCCTGAGGAAACTGAGAGGTTAGTGATTTGCCCACAGCCCACAGTGTGCAATGGCAGCGACGGGCCTGGGAGCTAGGCCTGTGTGACCCTGCAGCTCTCGTCCTGTCCTTCCCACTGATACTGATCTGTGTCCTTCGTGAAGACCTGTTTGACCTCTGAGAATGGGTGTCGTCAAGCATGCAGGGCTAGCAGCAGTTCCGAGTAAGACAGCATTTTTATAGGACCTGATGTCTGGGCTAGATGATCCTTAACAGTTTGAATCCTTGATGTGAACTGCCCAGAGCCAAGAAAAAGCTAAGGTTTTTATTTGTCTGTTTTTAATGAGAAACATTCAAACACCTACCTTAATCTGTTTTTCTTCTGACAATTTCTCATAGGCAGCTATTACTTGAACCATACAGCTTTTCAGCATCTCCTGCAAGGTCACCTTTGGCAAGGCATGGCCTCCAATCCGATTAATTTCCTGGCATAAACTAAACAGGAAGGATTGTACATACCAGGATGGCTAAAAAAGCAAAGGAAAGTCTTGTTGCCAATGTGGACCAATTAAATGCCAAGCAGTAAAAGTGGATCCATTTACCCTTACAAGGCCTGTATGCCAGGACCTTGACCTCTCCAATTAAGCCTTCTTCCCGGCAAACCATTTAACAGATACAAAGCC